AGTATTTCTTGCCAAGGAGCGACATTATCCTGTCCACTAATTTCCATTTCTTGAAGGTCCGTAATAATATTGTCTATCGTAGCACTTTGACCAGCACTACTCGACTGTTCTGCTAACTTACTATCTTTTCGTTCAAAAGAAGCGTCTTTTTTCTTTCTTAATTCGAGGAAATGTTCTTCGTTAAAAGAATGATTAATAAAAATATCATCTATTAACATTTTATATCCAACTTCACTTGTAACTTGATCTACCAGAAACTCCATTTCTTTTTCTGATATGTATTGTTTCTTAAGGATATCATGTCTACGTTTCAACTTATGTTTGGAAATAAGTACCTTTAATCCAATTCCATTATTTGTGACCTGCCATTTATTTTTATTACTCTTGAGGCTGTTTTTAAACCTCTTTTTATACTTCTCTTGTTCTTTCAACGTCTTAAATTGCTTGTTTATCTGCAAATTTGAATACGTAACTGCATATTTACGTGCTCCACCATCCATCGAAACTTTTTTTGTATAAGACACGCCAACACGTTTACTTATTACTTGTTTAACTTTACTAAAATCCTTAAATACATTTTGCGGCGGAGGTGTCGGAGTTACTATCACCTTCGAACGACAATTTTGACAAACTTTTCTATTTCTTGACATTACGTAAGCACAGACGTTACTACAAAATGAGCATGGGATGTAGAACCCCAAATACCATGTTCGTCTACCATGACTAAATTTAATATAAGTTGTAGTTTGCCTGTTCTTTTCTTGTTTCTTCAATCTATTTTCAATAACTACAAGTTTATCCAATAATAATTGACGTATTCTTAAAAAATACTTGTTTCTAGTTTCTATGTCAATAGGTAACCCACAAAATACACTCGTCAAGTATTTTGAAATTCTGTATTTAGTATTCATCATAGGCCGATCTGAATTAATCGAAAAAGGCTTATCATATTTCTTTATTATATGTCTATTGTTGGTAACAATCGTCAACATATCTTTCTCTTTTTGTAACGAGTCCACATGTAAAAGGATGTAGGACTTTCCTTTTCGGGTGGAGTATATCGTATCAGCCCCTGTGTACCGTTTCACTTTTTCTGGACGGAAAAAAGTATAGCCGATAAAACTTTCTTTATTCGGCATCTTTTATCTGATTGGTGCACTGTATTTACGCCTTCTTTTGAAAAAATTTCGCAAGAAAACAAAACTTTTATGTCTTTAAAGGACTATTAAGCCCTTGTACTAAACTGGTTCGAACTGAAAAGAGTGATAATAAAAAGTGTGTTGTTTAAACCAAGGAACACTTTTATCTTAATACTGAAGTGCTATTTTTCTAGTAATTTAACGAGAAAAAGCGTAATATTTCTTATATGAAAAATGGATGTGAACGGTACAGGAAAGAGTTTTTTTTTCTTTATCTGTTCTATTATATCTTGAAACTTTTTTTATATAAGTAATGCCTATACATACATTTACTTAATATATGTTTAACCTGACTATAATCTCTGAATATATTTTGCAGCAAAGGTAAAGGTGTATCTATTACCTTTGAGTAACAATTTTGATATATTTTTCTATCACGTGATATAATATAAGCACAAATAAAATTACAATAAGAGCATACATGGAATATAATATCCTAAATACCATATCCTTTTCCACAGCTAAATCTAATATGGTGCAAGTAAACTATACTCGATAATCACGTGATGATGTTTCAATTTTCTGGCATAAGTTTAATATCACGTGATCAGACATTATCCAATAAAAAATGAGAATTTTTATATGTTACACTATTTCGTACATAATATTTTATGTCAAAACGAAAAATTTATTCGTTAAAACTCTTCATATTTGAATTACATGGTATTGTAATATATAATGACATTTTTTTCTAGGTACTTTACTAACTTGTTGTTGTCATTTTATTTTACGTGGCATCAGTAAAGTCAGATCGAAATTTTCTCATTCACATGTGATGATTTTCTCATGAATCAAAAGGTTTTCTCATTGTTAAAGAAATTTTCTCATGATTAAGGTTGCTTGTCTAAACCTCTTCAAAATCCTACGATTAGTTTCGTCAAAATTTTACTATAGATTTATTATAGTTTCGGCAGAGTTTCGGCAGTTTCAGCATTTATAATAAGNTTGAATCTGTCTCTTATACACATCTAGATGTGTATAAGAGACAGGTTTCAGCATTTATAATAAGTTTCGGCAGTTTCGCCTTTCTCCAAAGTTTCGCCAGTTTTTTAATATAACTTTAATATAGTTTCGGCAGAATTTCGCTTTTCGGCGAAACGCCATCTTGCCTAAACCCCTAGGTTTCGGCAAGCAACCTTACTCATGATCAAATGAATGTAATAATTCGGGCCAGCATTGAAATATCATAATTTCAGCCTGAATTATAAAAATTTTTGACCAATAAGATAGGGCACATGTGATTCAATTTGTTTCAAATTTAGGCTGATCATATAAAAATCGGTTAGTTTTAAATGCCTATAACTTTTTATACAGATCTTTTTTCAAAAATCTGACTAGTAATTTGATAGTACTTGTCTTGAAAAATAAAACTACCAGTTTATTTTCTTTAAAATTTATTTTTTAAAATTTTATAAGATTTTTTAGTACTACAATTTTATTTATTGTTGAGTATAGTTTACTTGCACCATATATATTATAGTTTATTTGTTCTTATTCTACTTCTTTAATCTTGTCTCTATTGCAACAAGTTTATTTAATAATAACTGACGTATTTTTGAATAATATTTATTTCTGGTTTCTAAATTAATAGGCAATCCATAAAATACACTTATCAAATATTTTAAGATCCTATATATTCTGTATTCATAATAATCCTGTTTGAATTAACTTTAAAAGGTTTATCATATTTCTTAATAATATGTCTATTGTTGGTTAAAATTGTTAATATATCTTTTTCTTTCTGAAGTGAATTCATGTGTAAAAGGATATAAGACTTTCCTTTTTAAGTGAAATATAATATTAACTTCAGTATACCATTTTACATTTACTACTAAGTGGAAAAATATATAGCAGTCAGCGGTCATTTCAGATCACTTGCTGATCATTAATTAAAATAATTTCGTGTAACTATAATTGAATATTCCATCATATAGCTAAAAAAAGAAATTCTTAATACAACACTTATACAAATTAAGTAAATTAATAGTTCGTCATGTGTATTATAAATTTTCATCATCATTTCCTCTTTAATAATAATAATTTTTTTTTTTGTATATACAAGAATGTTCGTCTCAAAAATGAAGTTTTCCTTCAGATGCAACTTAAAAGTAGATGTAAAATATAGTTTAAATGATAAAAATATATGTAATTTTACGAGAAGAAAAAGATTTACTAAGTTGAAAAAGGTAGTTATTTAGGTAGTTTTTATGTAAACCGCAAAAAGTCAATTTTTATAATAAAAAAAAATTTTTTTGATTTCAATAAAACTTTTAGCAAAAGCTTTTTTTAACCATTAATTATTTTATTTTTAGCTATAATTTGGCGAAACAAACAACTTTTGTTAAGCTTAGAAGGGTGATTATTATACCAGATTTTTTTTTATTTATAAATTTTGTTAAAATTTTTTAATTAGAACGCTAATAAGAAATTTTTTTTTATTAGAATAATATTATTAGGTCTATTTGGATGTTATAAATAATTTTAAATCACAAAGCTAGTCAAAATTTAATGTTTTTTTGTTTATCTATATTAGACCTTTAATGCTTAAATCTTGGTATTGTAGTAATCATGTAAATTTTTATAATTTATTAAAAAAAAACTTTAAAATTTTTAAATTTTAATTCATTTAACAAAAAATAAAGCAAAAATTATTTATTTATAGAAAAATTCATATTGGATATTAGGTTTGCTTATCTTGTTAAATCATAAATACAAATAGTATAATATAAATAAGTAAAATGTTTTTTTTATGTTTAAAGTAATGTTAAAATAAAAGATATTTATAATATATTTAAAAAAAATAAGCAAAAGAAAAAAGTTAAAAAAGTTTTCTTAATACTTTATTAGTTTGCTATATCAAAATAACCATATAATTGACAACCTTCACTGGCCAGATGCAACTGAATAAAGTGAAGTTTTTGACTTTTAAAAGGTTTAAAAATATTTTTCAAATCTTGAATGAATATGTTTACTATTGTTGGAAAAAGTGTTACATTGCATAAATATGGTGTTACCTTTGACTAGTATTTGTATCCGGATATCATCCGGATAAATAAATCCGTCTCTGTTAAGAATTTTCAAATCCGGTTATCTGATAAAATATTTTTTACAAATCCGGATATCCATCCGGATTAATCCGTAATCTTCGTGGATGTCTAACGGGTCATTAGCGAGTTTATACCTGGATAAATTCCGTGAACTTAATATAATTTATTGTATTTATACATATATCATTAATATTGTATAATAATTTGTAAATATAAAAAAAATAAAATTTATCTCAAAAGCATGAATTTATTTGTGTAATTTATATAAGGTATAGTTTAAACATCAATAGGAGTAGTAGTTAATTGTTGAGCTGGGTGAATATTAGCAAAATGGGAACTATTCCGTTTTAAGAACATAACACGACTAAATAACTCAGGTTTCATTCGTGTTCTCTTAACAGTTAAAAGATTTCCCGCGTCTGAGAACAGTCATTCTGAGGGAGTAGATGCCGCATTTGGAGAGGGAGAAGTCAAAAAAGAAGTAATATCGCTTTTGCGTTGTGTCATACTGGAAAATGGAGTATTACAAATGACGATAAGCAAGATAAAAAGTGGTTTAACGCGTTTTAGTATTTTTATTACTTGGTGATTCATGTAGCGAAATATTGGACATTGAGACAATTATTACTACATTGTGCAGATTGGCATTTAATATTTCTTAAAATGTATTTGATCTGCTAACATAAACGGATATATCCAGAGGATCCGTTTAGACTAAAATTGTATCCGGATAACGTCAACTCAAAAAAACCTTTATCCGGATACCCACTTCTTACCGGATATCCATTAATACAACCAGATTTGCTATATCCGGATACAAACACTACTTTTGACCTGAAAATTCTGATTTTAATGAAATTTAAGCCAGCATTATGAATCTGGCCAGAATTAAAAAAATTTTGGCCAGAATTATAATTTAAAAATTAATGAATTTTAACTAATTAAACTAATTTAGCCAAATTTAAATATTAAATATATATTATATACCTAAAGACTATATCATATTAAGAATTTTTATTATAATATTACTATAGTACAAAAAATCTCACCACTAATTTTGCTGAAATAACCAGTAACTGATAGCTGATAGAAATTTTTTTATTCAGCATTGTTAATCTAATTAGTATACTATATTTATATCTTTTTTTAAAGAAAAACTTTGCAAGAAAACAAAAATTTATTTGTTAAAGAAAATAAGTTCTTATGAACTCTTAATAACCTAAAAGAGGAATAATAAAAGTGTGTTATTTTAACTAAGGAACACTTTTATCTAAATATTAAACAACTAGTTTCTTATTAAACAAACAAGAAAAAAACATTTATTTCTTATGTAAAAAATGGATGTGAAGTTGTAAATGATATGGGAAAGAGTTCTTATTAAATTTGACAATAAGATATTAATAATTAAAGCACTAGATAATTATTATAAAGTGATAGTAATATGTATTAATAAAGGAAAATTTTATAACTTTTTTCTTTAATTCTTAATTTTCCTGAAAATATTTTATTATTGATCAGTTGAAAAGAATTTTTGAAAGGACTATTTGGCTAAAACAATTCTACATTCATTTCAAACATTAAAGTATAAAATAACAATAATAATAACAAAATTAATTTAGAAAATATTAATAGTTTTTTACTTAGTCAACATATATAATATAAGAAATAACAATAAATAAATTTAGACATGTTATATCTTATACTTTACATTAGAACTTACAATATTAATGAATTGGTAGGGAACTATGCAAAACTTTATAAAATATTAAATTGGATGCATGCAAAAAAATCAGGTGGATATTATAACCTTAAACAAAACTAATTTAGACCAAAAAATAGTTTTTTCAAAATGCCTAACAGTTTTAAAAAGCAATTTTATATTTATTGTTCAAGTAAATAGTATAACAAATATAAGGGTTCAGAAGTGATGTTAATATATTTATAGAAATAGAATAAGCATTATCAAGGATACAAAATTCATTTACCAACTTGTATTTGGAACTGTTATTACCTTGATGATGGATTTAGAATATATGGTGGTCTATGGTGGTAGTAGCAGACTTTTGAAATTTTTATATAAATCTGTTAGAGTTTGGTCTAGTTCATTAGTAATAGTTCTATTCTGTAAGAAAGGTCTTTATGAAGATGCAACCTGCTAATATTTGGCTCATACTTAGTATTAATACTAAATTAGTTTTTATCAATATAGTCATAAATAAAATATCTAAAAAAAATAATTAGAATTTAATCAGATGTTAAAGTAATTAGATAAAATCAGGTAATTTTTAATAAATTTTATTTATTATTATATTTATTAGATAATTTTAATTAAAATTAATATAATCTTATTAAATAATATAATCTTAGTTAGAATTAATTAAAATTAATATAATTTTAGAAGTATATAGTAGCAGAAATCAGTTGATTTGAATATTTGATAGAAGATTAGATTTTACAATCAGATTTTACAAGCAATATAATTTACATTTTTTATTAATAAATTATACATACAATTATTTTATTAAAAAAGTTTTTTGTGTATTTAGTAATTCAATTTAAAAAATTTTTTTATTTTATAAAGTTTAAAAAAAGCTATAAATTATTATTTAAATTAGGAAGGAGTAAAGTTTCCTTATTGCCTTAATTGAAAAGTTAAAAATTTATTTAATACTTTTAAAAGTAATAAAACTATTATGTTTCAGATTAAGAGTACTAATAAATTTATTTATAATGTAAATAAAAAGAACATCCATATAAATTAAAAGATCTACATACTTATTGCACAGAAAAAAAAGGCGACAAATACATGACCAAAAATAGAAAGTATATTTTGTGGGATTACTGCGTCAGTGACTCACTATGACCTGCTGACCCACTTACCCACTGTACTGTCCTTACTGCGAGTCAAATGTATCTGTGAGTATCCTTATAATATGAAAACAAACATATTCGGTCAATATGTCAACGTGGCTTATTCGTTTGCAAATTATGAGTGAAATACTATACATATGCAACAAACACTATATTGTATTAGTTTGAAATTTTCATATTGATTTAACAAATATGTTGCCATCGTCTTTTGCGACATATAATTTTTTAAAAAAACAATTCCAAATTCATTAAAGCACTTTTGTAAAATTGTCTAAAAGTGTCATACATGTCACGTGAATTACGACTCTCCACGAAAAAAAAGGACAGAAATAAATTTATTTTTGTGGGGAAAGTTACTATTAAAGAATCAAACATTCAAATATAGTTTTAGTTTATCCGAATGGTCGATTAAATAATTGACGCCACATTAAGCCCACCTTTTACCTGATAGGGAACAAGTATATTTATTTTTTTTTTTTTGATGGATCTGCGGCCAGAAAAAAAAAAATTGGTTTTGTGTAAAAATGTGGCAATAATACAATAATATTATAGTAATGTAATAACCAGATAAAGTTAGAGTTTTGGAGATTAGGAAAGTTTGAAGAACTATATGTAATCATAACATTTATTCTGTAGCCGTAGCGCAGCAGAATCGCCAGATGATTCATTCAAAAAAAAATCAACCCGCTCGAGTGACACATTATTAATAAAAGTAGATTACACGACTCGTTTGTAATGCTATAATGTATATAATGTATATGACATCAAAGGTTGCCATAAAAGCCATAAAAAAACACTGCTCACATGGCTTACCTTGATAAATTTCTTTTATTTTAAATCTGGAGTCAACCATCCCGAAGTACACATGATCTTGCACGCCAATTATTCTATTCTTTAATTAGTTATAATTTTGTTAATTTGGCTGTTACAAATTTGTTCAAAAATAAAAAGAAATATGCGACACGTATACACATATAATATTGCTTGTGTGGAGTAAATTTAATGATGCACATGCCGGGTAAGGTACGGAAATTTGTGAAACCTTCATAATATTCAACTTCAGTATCCCAACAAACGCTTAAAAAAATAATTTCAACCCTTATTTTTTTTCCTTTCATTCACTTTTTTTTCGGAAAACCTTTTTTTTAGGTTTTGTTTTTTTTTTTNAAAAAAAATTTCAAAACGATTAAAAATTTTATTATTATCAACTTTATATTATTAAAAAAATATTTCATATATTTACCTATTCTTTTTTCCTTTTTTTTTTAAAAAAAAAACTGATTTATAAAAAAAAAAAAATCTTCCTTTAACAATCTTGATTTTAAAAAATTACTTATATAAAGAATTTAGTGTAATTACTAATAGCAAGCCTGGACTTGGCAACATAACAACAAAGAAAAAAACCAAAAGATATTAAGAAATATTATATATTTATTACGTCGAGAAAAATTTACACTTTTTTATAATAAGATTAATTTACTCAACCAGCTTTGTTTCTTCATTTTTTTTTTCTTTCAGATTTATTCACTTTAGCCTTTCCTTGACATATATTTACTTGGTTTTTAAACTATACATTTTATAATAAACGCTTTCCCCTATTTCATTTATTTCTATTCTTTTTTTTTTTTTTGAGGAGGACGAGTGGAAGAGAGATCGGTGTGTCTTGAGGTGAATCTTTATTATTATTAGTACATTTTTAAAATAGATCTTAAAAAAAAAAAAATCCTTTTTTACAATAAAAAGAATTAATTTCTGTTGGTGTGGTTCCAGTTCTGTTGGTTTCTTTGCGTTTATTATTGTAAACCTTTCCAACTCAGGATCCATACAAGGCAAGAAATTGTTCTTGAGATAGGATTAAAAAATAAAAATTCTTTTTTTTTTATAAAAAAAAGAAATAAACATTAGAATTAAAAATAGCATCAATAAAAAACTCTCCAAAATTTCAAATGCCTCCCCATACTTCATTATATTATACAATGCCACCTAATACAACAAATTCAAAGTCCACAGCAACGACAGCCAATAGCGGCACAACTCAAATGAATACCAGTAATAAATCTTCTTCCACGCCATCAAAAACATCCCGACAAAGGAGAGCAGTCTCATCATCTTATGTTTTTGCACCTAGTTGGTTAAATTTAAATAATAATAAGTCTGGAACCCCTACAACAGTATTAAGTTCAGCTTATGTATCAACAACTGAAGAAAAATCTGTAAAGGAGGAGGTAAAGGGGGTGGGTGCGTCAAAGAAGGAAGGACTTGGTGGTATTCGACAGTCCAAGGAAGGTTTAGTAAAAGGTAAGAATCATTTTTTCCTGGCCTATATTTGTAAGATCAAGAATTAAAAAGAAAATAGGAATTAGGAAAAAAAAAATTTGGTTGGTGGTTGAATTAGTTTCCAAAAAAATTTTTTAGGTTGAGAATCTTGGCTTTCCTTTATGGAATGCTCTTGTGACACGGACCCAACTCTTATTTTTTAATTTTTTATTCTCATACAAAATGTGAATTCTGTGAATTTGCATTTTCAGATGGCAGTTCCTCTCTCAATCGTTCAGCTACCCCACTTTTGTCAACTCGATCAAAATCACGAGATTTATCTAGTTCTCGGTCATCAGCTTTTGGCGAAACGGAAAATCACGAGGTTGTACTAGTATTATTTATTATAATTTTTTTTTTTTACTAAAAAAAGGTTATTTATTAACATAAAACTTTTAATTTCACGTTTAGTCATCAGTTAAGTTACATGGCCGATCCCGTTCTGTTTCTCAAGTTAATCAACCTACTTCATCAACCTCATCAAGCTTTGATAAGAATTTTGTAAGTTATTTAATTCTATTATTATTTTATTCAAAATAAAAATTTTTACTAAACTTTATATAATTATAATTATTATAGCCGACATTGGCGAAAAAGAAACAATTGAATTTGTCTGTAGATCTTCCGGCAAAAAATGTTGAAAATATTTGGGGTAAATTTCTTATATATTTGAAGATTAGAAATTTCATTGTATTTTTTTTATTTTTTTTTTTCGATTCGTACTTAATTTAATTATTTATCAATATTAGCAAATTTAGAAGCAAAATCAAAGTTACTTTCACCGACTTCTACACCAAATGCTGAAGAAAATATAAAATTCAGTATTCCCAACATAGATAATGAACCGGAATTGGAGAGACGTATGTCCCTGGTACCCAAAGTAGAAAGCGGTAAATTAGATGGAAAAAGACCTAAGCACTCCATTAAACGCAAAACTAGTCGATCATTGTCAGTAGATAGTGTAGCTCGAGGTACCAACGGTAGTTCAGTTTTTGGATTTGGTGTAGGGATTGGTATACCAAACGGCCGATCCCTTGGACAGACACAGAATGCTAGATCTTATCTTAGAGAGAATACAGCTAAACCTATTAGCTCCCAACCTCAAAGACAAAGAGCGGCATCTATTTCTGCATCAAATGGAATAAAAAAGATATCAGTTACAACTCCTCGTATGGGTAGTTTTGGTCAATCAACTATAACAGGGAGAAAATCGAGCATTGGGGGTAATTCAAAATATTTATGGAGTAATGCCACGATGGGAAAAATGGGATCTTTCAAAATTTTTACAGAGGAGGAGGAAGAAGAAGAAGAGGAAGAACTCTTGAATGATAGAAAAGAAGTTAATGTTAATGATTGTGATCACATTGAGGAGGAGGAGGAGGAAGATGAAGAAAACATTAACAATAATACAGGTGACAAAAAAGCTTCGGTTAAAGTTAATCAAAATAATTATCATACCGATGAATCACCATCATCATCACCTACCTCCTCCTCTCTTGAACGTGAAGAGAAATTTCTTCTTGAATTAGGATGGAAAAAACCATATAATAAAGATACTGATAGCAAAGAATGGGCCATTACAGAAGAAGAAAAACGATTCTTTGTGAATTTTGTCCGAGCTTTGAATGGCATTTCAGTTTCAGAAAAAAATGAAGCTGAAGAGTTATCTTATAATGAGATTAATTATGCAAAAAGAAAATGGGCGGCTTTATTAAAGAATTTTAAGAATATGAATAGGGATAAAGTTTTTATGGGATGTTATCAATCCAATGGAAAACGCGTCACATTTAATGATGAGAATTAAAGAAACAGAAATAGCTAGCTATTAATACAAAAAAAAAATTATATATATTTTTTTATTATTAGGAATTTTTTACCTATTTAATCGTGACCCTTATATCAAATGGAAAATTCTATTATAATCAAGTTGTAAAACGTATTACTATTTATTAGTGTTAACTGTATTATTACTTTCCTTGATCCCCCCTTTTTTTTAATTTGGAGGATAGGAATGTTTGTTTGTTACTTTTTTGTTATCACATTAAATAGATAATATTTAAAGATCGACATTCGGAATCTATTTTCTCAAAAAGATATTTGGCTGAAAAATAATGTAGGACGAAAGTTTATTTATGTACAACTTATACAAGTTACCAATAAGTACTCTTAAAGGTTGCAAAAATTGAATCATTATGCA